TATTTTATCTTATGTTTTACAATTGTATTCATCAATTTTATTGGTACATTTTAGGTATACATTATGATCACCTTCATCATTGGGAATTTGTACCTGAACCTGACATATCTTGGTTTTTGTTTTTTCCCATTCCCCTTCTCTCCCTTCCACCCACTCATCCTTCCTTATTTACAAAAGCTTTGTTTCTGTTTTTGCTTTTCTCATATTTCTTCTTTCCCTTCTTTCTTTTCTTCCACCCCCTCCTACTTCTCCTTACCATTTGAACTTTTTCATCCTATTTCACATTATCTATTGTACATTATACTACAAAACTACTGTGATAAAAACAACACGGTATTGGCAGAGAAACAGACCCAACGATCAATGGAACAGATTAGAAGATACAGAAACAACTCCAGACATACTCAGCCATCTCATCTTTGACAAAGAAGCCAAACACTCTCACTGGAAGAAAGATAGCCTCTCTAATAAAGGGTGCTGGGAAAAACTAGCTTTTAATTTGCATAAGATTCAAACTAGAACCATGCACTTAACTAAAATCAAAATAGATCAAAGATCTAAATATTAAAACAAACACTAAACCTCCTAGAAGATAGGGTAAGTAGAACTCTTGAAGGCATCGTCATAGGAAAAACTTTATGGACATCTCCAGCTCATACAGTTGTGTGGTACTCTACTAAGATTATGGTTGATAATAGCTCAGAGAGTTTCTACAAATACCCTCATAGAAAATAAATGACAGCATAGGAATTTCTCCACAGGTATCAAGAAATCATGACCCTGGTCCTCTTCATTATAATGGCCCTTCTATGGTTCAGCCGTGATCCAGGATTTGTTCCTGGTTGGTCTGAACTTTTTAGACAGTAAGTATTATATGATATTCATGTCCAACCTTCTTGTTTTATACTCTGCTTTTCTCCTTCACAGTTCTACGACTTTGAAAGTTTATAAAAGATTTTTTCTTCTTTTTATATAAATGTTTATTATGTAAAATAAATGCCACTTGATGTTTCTCCATAATCAGACAAATTCACATTCTGTGCTTTTCACCAATTTGAGGTAGTTTTTATTTCTTTGAAGGACTATTTTGGGGGCATGATGTCTTTCAGAATAGTTTTGTGCTAATTCACTACAAATTCTACCTAGCCTCCTTTTCATACATAAAGAATTTGTCAATAAGTAACAAGACTGATTTTAAAAACCAATGCTAGAAACAGTTCAGAACTAATTACATCTCTCAGTGTCTTACATATCAGCAGTCATTGCTGAGTCATGTGAAGTGAGGGGGAAGATTGTAGCCAAATTTCCTAAATTAAGAGCCGTCCTACACATCAATATAAGTAATTTTGTTTTGATATTTGTGTTTCCAATATATATTTCACCAAAATACTCTAATTCCTAAATTCAGCAGATCTATGGCTTAGACTTGCTGTCTTATACTCCCCAGGAAAAATTCTGAGGGCAGAAACAAAAATTGAGTCAGCTCTATTCTAGCTGTGTTGAACAAGGAAGCTTCTCCTTGTCTGAATCAGAGCCTTCTGGTTTTACAGGCCTTGCCAATATTTTTCAACTGTGCAAAACTTGAATCCAAATTTCTAATGACAACACAAGTCAAGCAATGAAAGGTGCTGGCAAGTTTTAGAAGATCAGCTTCAGCTTAAAATAATTTTTCGGATGTGGGAAGGGTAGGGGAAAGGAAATAAGAGAAAAGAAAAAATATGAGAAAATGGAAAAAAATGTTTTGTAAATAGGAAAGGGAGGAGGGGGTGAAGAGAAGACAGGGGTATGGGGAAAAATGAGAACCAAGACCTGTCATGTAAAGGTACAAGATCCCAATGATGACTGTAACTCTACTGTATACCTAAAATGTACCAATAAACTCAATGAGAAAAAAAAATCATTTTTATTTCCCTTTGGATTAAAAATTTTCATTTTGAGATGCCTAACCCCTCCAATCATCTAATTATTCAAGGCAAGTTATTCTTTAATAGTTGATACTCTTTCTGATTCATAATAGGATCTAGAGTAACATAAAAAAGCAATTCTCACTTTAAAAATCAAAATTCTACCATCCTAAGTAAGGAAAATCTTTCTACAAACACTAGTGTGTAAAAGATAAGTGAAATGAGACAAAAATCCCAAAAGGAAACTTAATATAATCAACTTCAAATTTTTATTCCTCATGGGAAGATGATATAATTCGGGAGCTGTTTTGTTATTTCTCATGAAAAAAAATAATTCACATTCATTTTTATACAGTTTTATTTAAATAATTTCAAAGACCTATGAATAAAACATCATATTATTCACCAAGCCAGGCTGAACTCAGCCTTTTGTGCTTCTTTTGAAAAGCAAAGCAGTATCACCAGGTGTGGTTCCCTGCCTAGGCTACATTTTCCAAGCTTTAGTAGCGTAAAGTCTGACCCTGTCTCCCCTTGATTCTTCCTGATTATACTCCAGAACTGTCCAATTGAGTTAGGAGAGGAAAGATGGTGCTGATGACTAAACAAAATTCTTTACAGATTGTGGGATCAGCATGTGGCAGTTCTCCTGCTGGAGCAATTGTGTGGAATATCACTGCCTTTGGCAGGCGGGCATCAGTGGGGAGAGGTCCGCTGCATAACAAGTGCCCCTCTCAGGAAGTCTGAGCCTCTGGGGGCCTATTCAGTGACACAGGTAGAAATGCCAGCTACAGGGAATAGAACTCCAAGTCAGTGGAGAAGTATTCGGCCTCAGGCCCACTGTTTCCGTTCTTTGTTGCTATGTGTAATGAATTTATAAAATATATGTGCAATAACTGTTATTACTTTAAAATGGTCTACCTCTTTGAAAGGAGAAATTAAGAAGATAAAGGAAAGATATATTAAAATATGTTCTGTAGGAGGGAAAAATCCCATGAAGCACATACATTATGCGAAGTGCATAAATCATGATCAGTGACATGTTTCAACAGTTCCCTTGCTGTCCACTGTCAGTTAGAATAGCTTCATGCTTTAGCTAATTTCTCAGTGTCTTATTCAGTCTGCTAGGGTGTTCACACCCTCAATCAACAACTAGAATTTATCAACCACTCCCCTGCTGGGCTACCATACATTCTCATTAGTGTGCTAGCCGTTAACACTGTTAGCTTGCCCATTATAAATGACCCGGGCGTACTTCAGAAAAGAAGCTCATCTATCAGTGCCTCGAAACTTATTGAAATGGAGAGGCTGATACATTGTCATAGGCTTTGTCAGTTCCTCTGTAAAGGCATTAACCTTCCTTTGTAGCAATGCCATCTTGTCTTTGACTTAACCATTTACATGATCATACTGTGTGGAAGGAGAGTCCTATCTTTTTCTTTAGCGATATTTTTCTATAGATAGTTATTGTGGAGGCCTATAGATTAGGTGCTTTATTTTTTAAGAGAAGAAGAATTTATTGAGAAAAGATAGCTTCTGCCTAAGAGAGACAGCAGGGGTCCAGTGGCTTGCTCAGGGTAGTTTCTTATAATAGTATTTATGTTTTTTCAGGGGGCAAAATTCTAAGACTGGAAGAATTACTAGTTAGGAATCTGATTGAGATTGTAAAATGTAATTATGTTCTCACTGATCATAAATTGAACAGTATCTATTTACTTATTGAGGTACATGCATAAGGGTAATTAGGAATGTATATGATAGATGGTTTAAGAAGTAAGGAAATATACTCCTTCAAATGAAATACACCTTAACAAGTTTGTATAGCCAAGTTATAGGGATTAATTAAAACAAAAAGCAAAAATAAAAAAGAATAATCAAACCACAAAATGTGTCTCTCTGAGATGCCTGCCTTCTTACTATCCCAGTCTTCCTTCTTATTCTCTTGTAAACATGCATGTTTATCCCTGCAATTTTACAAGATAAAATGTCCCTGCTTTCTACATCTACCATAATGTAAACTGAACTACCCTAGATATTCCAAAAGATAATCTCTAAGAATCTAGCCATTTCTTCATTTTTTTTTTCAGACTCTGGAGAGTTTTCTTTTTAATCCACATCTAGAGCAACAACACACACACACACACACACACACACACACACATGATTAAGGTTTTAAAGACACTGAACTTCAGAAGAGAAATATTAGTCACAGTGAAAAAAGTCATGAGAACAAGAAGCTAAAAGCTATAAAGAGTGGCAGGGAATGCCGGGAATTAGCTCAGTGGTTCCACTGCCTGCCTTGCAAGCACAAGGACCTGAGTTTGATCCCTGGTACCAAAAATATACATAAATCAATAAATAAAGAGTTGCGGTTATTATTGGAAATAAATGAGAAGATACTGGGTGTATTAGGACATAGGTTTAAGAAACTTAGAGGAAAACATCATATAATAAAGTTGGTTTTAAAGAATGGACCTTGTTTGGACTCTGACCTGTATCAGTGTATGTGAATTCCCTGTTCCAGTGTATAGCTCAAGTTAAGCAGTTTTGTGAATGTAATGAATGTGATAGAAACTGCCTCATAAATTTGCCAAATGCACTATTAAGTGGGTGAATTAACTATTTACTGTGTATGCTAGTGTTAAGAAACAACAGGCCAAAGAGAGCATCTATGCTATTATCACTGTCTCTTCCTCAATTTTTCTGACTAGTGTGACAATACTTATACAAGTGCAACAATTAGCAACCGACATGCATAATAAATTTATTTTTAACAATATAATTATAAATTATATAATAAAGTGTTAAATAGAGATGAGTGGTACACAGCAAATGCCAGTGGTGCAAAAAGTATTTGGAAATAAGCAGTAGACAATGTCATGGAAAATATACAACAAAAACTAAGCACTGAAAAGTGAGCAAAGCAGGCAAAACAGAAGAGGTTAGAGAACATTCAAAGGAGGAAGGAGAAGTAAAGACAGAATGGAGAGATATTATTAGCATGGAGATTCATATTTTATGAAGTTTTTGCAAAATAGCTTTCATCAAAGAAAATAGTGATGGAAGAATCCTTTGCTTAACAGACATATTTTTTTTCAGTTTTAAGGAGATGTTCAAATGTGGCAAAAGCCAAACAGCTAAAGAAAAAGCTTGTGCTGAAGTGATTATGCAAGAATACCAAAAACTTGGGCCAATGAGGTAAGGTATGCATGTCTGTGTGTGTGTATTCTCACACACACACACACACACACACACACACACACACACACACACTCAACCACTCCACAGATACTGTATGTGCTTTAAGTAGTTGCTTAACAGCATATAAGCACATAATTGTCTTCAAGATATATGTAACACTCAATTAGGGCTCCAAATTTGCTAAACTTCATGAAAATATAATTTAACCTGACAAGGTATCTACTACTACCTAACTAAAATTTGCCAGGCAAAATGTCAAGACACTGTGAAGCCCCCAGAAAGAAAGAAATACTTTTTCCAGTTGTACTGATGTTCAAAAATTATTGACACATCCAATTTTTTTAGTCTTTTCAATTTTTATTTTATCTTATGTTTTACAATTGTATTCATCAATTTTATTGGTACATTTTAGGTATACATTATGATCACCTTCATCATTGGGAATTTGTACCTGAACCTGACATATCTTGGTTTTTGTTTTTTCCCATTCCCCTTCTCTCCCTTCCACCCACTCATCCTTCCTTATTTACAAAAGCTTTGTTTCTGTTTTTGCTTTTCTCATATTTCTTCTTTCCCTTCTTTCTTTTCTTCCACCCCCTCCTACTTCTCCTTACCATTTGAACTTTTTCATCCTATTTCACATTATCTATTGTACATTATACTACAAAACTACTGTGATAAAAACAACACGGTATTGGCAGAGAAACAGACCCAACGATCAATGGAACAGATTAGAAGATACAGAAACAACTCCAGACATACTCAGCCATCTCATCTTTGACAAAGAAGCCAAACACTCTCACTGGAAGAAAGATAGCCTCTCTAATAAAGGGTGCTGGGAAAAACTAGCTTTTAATTTGCATAAGATTCAAACTAGAACCATGCACTTAACTAAAATCAAAATAGATCAAAGATCTAAATATTAAAACAAACACTAAACCTCCTAGAAGATAGGGTAAGTAGAACTCTTGAAGGCATCGTCATAGGAAAAACTTTATGGACATCTCCAGCTCATACAGTTGTGTGGTACTCTACTAAGATTATGGTTGATAATAGCTCAGAGAGTTTCTACAAATACCCTCATAGAAAATAAATGACAGCATAGGAATTTCTCCACAGGTATCAAGAAATCATGACCCTGGTCCTCTTCATTATAATGGCCCTTCTATGGTTCAGCCGTGATCCAGGATTTGTTCCTGGTTGGTCTGAACTTTTTAGACAGTAAGTATTATATGATATTCATGTCCAACCTTCTTGTTTTATACTCTGCTTTTCTCCTTCACAGTTCTACGACTTTGAAAGTTTATAAAAGATTTTTTCTTCTTTTTATATAAATGTTTATTATGTAAAATAAATGCCACTTGATGTTTCTCCATAATCAGACAAATTCACATTCTGTGCTTTTCACCAATTTGAGGTAGTTTTTATTTCTTTGAAGGACTATTTTGGGGGCATGATGTCTTTCAGAATAGTTTTGTGCTAATTCACTACAAATTCTACCTAGCCTCCTTTTCATACATAAAGAATTTGTCAATAAGTAACAAGACTGATTTTAAAAACCAATGCTAGAAACAGTTCAGAACTAATTACATCTCTCAGTGTCTTACATATCAGCAGTCATTGCTGAGTCATGTGAAGTGAGGGGGAAGATTGTAGCCAAATTTCCTAAATTAAGAGCCGTCCTACACATCAATATAAGTAATTTTGTTTTGATATTTGTGTTTCCAATATATATTTCACCAAAATACTCTAATTCCTAAATTCAGCAGATCTATGGCTTAGACTTGCTGTCTTATACTCCCCAGGAAAAATTCTGAGGGCAGAAACAAAAATTGAGTCAGCTCTATTCTAGCTGTGTTGAACAAGGAAGCTTCTCCTTGTCTGAATCAGAGCCTTCTGGTTTTACAGGCCTTGCCAATATTTTTCAACTGTGCAAAACTTGAATCCAAATTTCTAATGACAACACAAGTCAAGCAATGAAAGGTGCTGGCAAGTTTTAGAAGATCAGCTTCAGCTTAAAATAATTTTTCGGATGTGGGAAGGGTAGGGGAAAGGAAATAAGAGAAAAGAAAAAATATGAGAAAATGGAAAAAAATGTTTTGTAAATAGGAAAGGGAGGAGGGGGTGAAGAGAAGACAGGGGTATGGGGAAAAATGAGAACCAAGACCTGTCATGTAAAGGTACAAGATCCCAATGATGACTGTAACTCTACTGTATACCTAAAATGTACCAATAAACTCAATGAGAAAAAAAAAATCATTTTTATTTCCCTTTGGATTAAAAATTTTCATTTTGAGATGCCTAACCCCTCCAATCATCTAATTATTCAAGGCAAGTTATTCTTTAATAGTTGATACTCTTTCTGATTCATAATAGGATCTAGAGTAACATAAAAAAGCAATTCTCACTTTAAAAATCAAAATTCTACCATCCTAAGTAAGGAAAATCTTTCTACAAACACTAGTGTGTAAAAGATAAGTGAAATGAGACAAAAATCCCAAAAGGAAACTTAATATAATCAACTTCAAATTTTTATTCCTCATGGGAAGATGATATAATTCGGGAGCTGTTTTGTGTGTAGGAAACCAGTGTATTTGCTATGGGCAGGTGCTTTTGTCACCTAGCAATGTGAGAGGAAACAGCAGGAAAAAGAACAAAGATTGGACAATGGGATTTTAAGATAGAAATCTAATGACAAATCCAAAGCAAATAACATTTAAGCGTAATATTTTATAAAACTCAGACCACCTAATTCATAATGAACTAGGAGATGGAGAGAGGCGAGCCAAAGGGGATAATCAGATAATTAACATGTGGAGCCAGTGTGCTGACTCCTAATGACGAATGTAAGCATCTGTACTAAAAACATGTACCGATAAAACCTGTTCAAAGTGCTTTGAAAGTGTTCAATATGTATACCTTAATTCTATTTAATATATGGTCTATAGAATATATTTGTTTCTGTAGAAGTTTCAAGCATTCAAAATTTCTAAAGTTAGCATGATAAATTAAGATTTATAGCTACCACCTAAGATTTTTATTCCATCTGTTTGAACCTGGACTGAATTCAGTATGCCTTTTTTGTATAAAGTAAAATCCAGTTGCATAATGCCTGGTCTAATTTGGCAAAAATTCAACCAAAAATTATAGCTGAAATAAAGAATGAGGAAACAATATACTGATAAATAGTTGTCAAGTTTATAGAATAAAATGTGCCACGATGGGGTTTTAGTCAACAAAGAAAAGAATAATTCTCTATTTAAGGAAAGTAAGCTTCTTTAAAAATTTGTTACACTGAAAAATACAATGAATTTTCTTGATTAGTTAGGTTTTCCAGGTAAATTATGATTTAAGTAGCTTCTGTACCATGTAAATTTTACTGAGTTTCAAGATAGAAAAACATTCCTTATGAAGTATGTATTTCTTCTCAGGTGATGAAAATGTACTTAATTAATATTGCAGACTTTTAAAACTGTAATCTAATTATTTATGCTTATTTTATTTGTATGTTGTCTCTAGTTGCTTCTTAACTATTGAAGCTTCTGGTATCCTGTCTTACTTGTTGGAATGGCCCTTAGTGATTCTAAGACCCTATCTGTCCCTGATCACTCTTAATTTGTACAGTGATCATTTATAAACATCTCATAAACCATTTCATTAATTAAGATGGGATTGAGCTTCACAGAGTACAAACCATTAAATGGGTTAATTTCATTTGTATGATATGTCTAGGACCTATAGCTGCAGAATCAGGTGTTAAATCTTAGAAAATAAATCAGTTATTTTTTGCAACTTATAAAAGAGTTTGAGAAGACGAGGACCATCAGGCCTTGGCACCATTCAATAAAATGCTATAAATCAATTGTATGGAGCCTTACCTTAAATAGCAATGGTTTCAAACTCAATTATTTCCAACAAAATTAAAGAAATATTTCAAAAAACTGATTAACAAATCTGCAGGCTTATCTAAAAGGGAAATTTGCCTTCTTGGCCTACTAGGTTAATGTCTCTATATTAATATTGAAAATAAGTAGAAATACATGGAAATATGATCTGAGATGATCAGTTCTAGTAAGTTATGCTATTTACTGGAAATCTATATTTTTTAGAGCAGATTATCCATAATAAATAACTTTTACCTCTAGTACTACTCACATGTATATACTATAAGTGGAATCAATCCATTTAACACTATGTACTCTATGAAATTACTAAAATGTTATTAGTATAGTCAATGAATATTTTTGCTTATGTAAGTCTTTAATGCCATTTTTTAATGTACATATTTTTTCAGGTACTCTGGTTTTGTAACAGATTCAACTGTTGCCTTAATTATAGGACTCCTTTTCTTCCTGATCCCAGCAAAGATACTGACTAAAACTACATCTACAGGAGAAATTGGTTGAGTATCTCTTACAGCTGATCGAATTTGACAGAAAAGCCAAAAACATGAAATGCCATCACTTTCCATTAGAAGGAGCAGCCTTCCGGACAGAACTCCTGGCTCAGCAGGCCATATTTGGAGACAGTACACCTTATTCGTTCAGCTCCTGTCCTCCACCCATAAGAGGAGTCATCTGACTTTTCCAAAGAGAGTAGATTTCCTTATGCACTATGGACTGGGACCTACTAGTACAAGTGATACTATTTGACCTATGATAAACCCACTCCCACTACCATAATTAGAATTAATCTTACGGTTGGAAAACAGAAACAAGAACTTGGAAATCACTATTTTATGATGAGGCCTTGCAGTAAATGCTAAGGATATACAAACCATGATGTGAATTTCATGAGAAAGAGCATTTACAGCCTCATAGTAGTCTTGGAAGAAAAGCAAATTAATCCCACATAGTCATAACCGATTGTCATGATGGAAAAATGCTGTTCAGTGGGAGTATTCATTATATTTACAATATGTGGACAAAGAAGCATCACACTGGCATGAACATACACCTCCCACATACACATCTCCTTAATCATAGGATGCACTTGGGTCTGTGTTTACAATAGCATAACACATTGCCAGTAGTCAGATTCCTAATTGCCAAAGTGGGACAAAAGATTTATTGTAGTTTGGAAATAGACTAGTAGGATAAAGCAGTGACACTGTTTTGATTTGTTTACTTTCACTATGATGGGTACAGGACTCGTGCAATTCGGTTGGCTCACCTGACTCTGACTCACTGTCCATCAACAGCTAATAGCTCAGATTTTCAGGGCTTGATTCATATGAACAGCATAATATAAAAATAAATGCCTTTTATCCTTTACTTGAGATTGCAAGGTCTAGATGTGCATTAAGGAAATATTGCAATATTTAGCACTGATTTTTATGAGACCCTGAAGACTCTAATCATTTCATCGAAACCCTAGAGGGGAATCAATGATTGGCTTTAGCTTCCCAGATTCCTACATCTGACTCTCTTCCTTAGAAAGAGCCTTGGCCTATCCACCTTTCTACTTTCTTTCTTTAATGCTTTCCACCCTGATGTATTCATTCATGCTTGGTTTTAAAATGATGCCTATGGCATAATATATTAAATTTTCAACAAGAGGTGTATTTCAGAAACGTATGTGTTTTGACAGGATATATAGTCTTAATCCAAGTAAGAAACATTGTAGAAAAACTTTAATCATTTGTGAAGGTAACTTTGAGAGTATTTTAGGGTAGTTTTTATTTGAGAGGAGATAGGAAGGAGGCTTATTAATATATTATAATCTCACTATGTAGATGTTATAATATTAGATGCGGATGATATGCTCATAAATGAATTTACTTATCGACAAATCAATGGAAAGATTAGAACAGGAGTATCTAGAGATGTCTTTATAATGTCTTCATGAGCATTATGATTTTCAAAAATGATATTTTAACCTTTTAATCAGAACTTTTAATTACCTTTAAACTAGAATCCCGATAGGTCTGTTATGATTCCTTTTATAATTTAAAATATCCAAAGTATTTTTCCAAGTTATAATTGTTTTCTTTTTAAAAATATAATGTTCCACTTAGGCTAAGTGGAAATTACTCTTAAGTCCAGATCAAATCTCCTCTTTAGAAACAAGTTAGAATATTACAAACTTCTATGAGGAAACTATATGTGATCCTAATTTTTTAAAAGTAACATGTCATTTTGTCACGTTTTAAGCAATGTTTAACTGTAGGACTTTTTTTTCACAGTTACTTTTGATTATTCCCCACTGATTACTTGGAAAGAATTCCAGTCATTCATGCCATGGGATATAGCCATCCTTGTTGGCGGAGGGTTTGCTCTGGCAGATGGCTGTGAGGTAATACTCTGTGTGTAAGATATTTAACAGTTACCTAGATGGTTAAAACGAAGAACTCAAAGACATTCAGTCTTCTGGTATATTCTGATTTATTCTATTAAATAATGCAGATTTCAATAGGGGTGCAGTGAACATACTACACAGATGAGGTGAGTTTAGGGTTCAAGAAGTTTTCCAGGTGGCAAGCAAAAAGCATATTTTTTTATGTTGGTCAAACATGTCAAAAGAAATAATGTGAAGGGGATTAAAATTATTAGTCCACTACATAGTGTTAGAAGGCTAACATAGTAGGAAAAAATTTACATAAAATATTGTGTAAAGTAACTCCTCATGAAACATATTTCTTGTTTGTTTATACCTTTGCCTTATTTCATGATGAATTTGAGTGGTTTTTGGATTTCAATATATTGTGGTCCTATTGCTGTCAAAAAGAATGAGAAATAATACTGACATTAAATGTATTTAATAAGTTCTTGTTGAATGAAGTCTGGGGAGAATTTCATACAACCATATTTGATATTATGTCCATTCTTAAGAAGGTATTTAAAAAAACAGTATGAAGAATGCAGTTGGCTATTTATTTGATCTTTATATCCAGTTAATACAATATAGCAGTCTGGGGAGGCCCTTGTCCCTTATAACTGGCCTCCTCACTGTATAGTGGTTGGAAAAAAAGTACCTGCAAGAATTCCCTAAACATTGTGTACTTTTAGGCGAGTTAAAAACCAGCTGCTTCTTGATTTCAAAGACTTTTGTGAAGCACTCAAAGATTATGACTGTTCCATCTCCTTATTCATCACGTTGAGGAGTGGTGAGAGAAGTGTTATGTCAAATCCTTTGTAAGGGGTTAAGTTTTTATACTTCTCAATATAAATATCTTCTCTCTTCTTCTTGGTAACCTATTGGAAGACTTCACTTCTATGTTTATTGCCAATTTCCTGCATAGCATTTAGATACTGAGCTTTTAGCAAGAGGATTTAGTAATAGCTGAAAGTCTTGGAAATTGACTCAATTCTGAATGCCTTTTGCAAAATTGTTTTAGGTATAGATTTTGCTTGCCTCATTACCTGCCCATAGAAATAGTAGAAATATATGAAAATTACACTTTCCTTTTCTACTACTGTACTTCAGCAGTAATAAGATCTGAATTAGATTAAATAACTTCCATTTGTGTGTCTACCAGTCTGCACTGTAAGGAAGTCAGAACCAAAATCTCTTGCATTGATAGGAATTTTGTTCATCTCTCCTCCTGCAGAATGACTAGATTGGACCCTAGACACTCAAAATGCCTTTGAAAACACCCACCAGACCCTAGAGCAGCAAAATTTGAGTAAATTAAAAGGTGTGAACTTAATCTGATGCATTAGATACTCTCGGTGGAACAATTAAGTATACCACCAATGTAGCTCTAGTTTGTCATAAAAATTCTATTATTCAAAATTAGTTCTTGAAGAATACCCACAATAATCCACTCCTAAGTGACCAGCATTAAATCATGAACCTCAAAAACTATGGCTCTAGGCAAATGTGTCCACAGAAAAATGTTTTTAGAAAATTTTGACACAGTTAATTTTTTAAACTTTTGGTTTTATTTTAATTAGCCTGGTAAATGTACAGAATCAGATAATGTTTCTAGCTGAGAATAGTAACATAGCAGTACCTATAGCATTGACCTCATTGCAATTGCTTCTATCTTAAAATGTCCTTGCCTTACTTTAACATAGCAGAGCTCTTGCAAGCTGGTAGTCATGTTTATATATTTGTCAGTGAATAAGTGTTTCTCTTCCCTATTTGCACATTCCTCAAAAATTTTCTCCTGAAGTAAACATGTATTAACATTTTTTAGATATCCAGTAAATTACAAGAGCAGAGCTAAAAAGTATGAGTCTATTAAATTAAAAAAAACTATGCAATAAGGTCAATAACAGATAAAAGGTGTTGAAAATTTTTGAATGGAAGGAAGATATTTGAGATGTAACTGACTTTGTATAAAAATAATGGACGATGAAGCAGTAGGCTGGCATATGGTTAAGCCAATGAGAAACAAGGCGGGTTATGGAAAGATCCTGGAAGAGGTCAGGGTTGGATTGGAGGCAGCAGATTATGCTGAAAGCAAGTGGTAAAGCCAGAGCTAAATAAGGAGGGTGGTTTCAAAAGTTCAGGAGTAGCTGTGGGTCCCCCAGAAGCTTTTCCCATCCCTGAGTAGACTCTTTTCCCAGGTTAAAAAAAAAGTTAAAGTTTACCAATGAGATCCTGGCTCATGGCTCAGTCTCATATAATAAAGTCTACACTTCAACAAGATTTTCTTGGCACAAAGAGATTCCAGTCATCATTTTGTGTCTCTAATATACAATCAAGAATCACCAGAAAGTTGGGAAAGATACTGATACAAAAAAAGAGAGACAAGAAAAAATAAACACAAAAGCAAAAGGGAGCATAAAAAAGTGAGGAAAACAGTTGAAGACATATGAAGCAAGAGAAAACTTTTAAAAATTGTCATTGATGCCTCAAAGGGATATTAGAAATATTAAGGACATAAAACTAAAATAGACTGGAACAGTATAAAAATGACATGGTTAATAAATATGCATGTATATGTATATTATACATATATATGGAAATAGGCATATATATTATACATATGTGTATATCTATACATATATAAACAT